TGCAAAGCAAAATAGTAGCTTTATTCAGTCTTAGAAGTGATATAGGCATTTCTTTGTTAAGCCAAATATATAAAGTAGACCCACCTAAATGCGATACATCGTAGTTAACCCCGTTGAACCTATAAGCCTGTTTCTTTGGCAATCACATTACAAACCTTACCCAATTGTTTGAACGGCCCATCTGTTTGAACCCCTTTACCTCCCATGAGCACTTGAATGGTTATGAAATATGCAAAAGCTGAAGTGTGGGGTGGTGGTTTGGTTTTTGAGTGGAACCAATGAAATAGAGAAAAATGTGTAGTATTTTGAAAAATGAAAGAATAAGCGCAATTTAAAAGAAAAAAAAGAGAAAAGAAAATAAGTAAATGTAGTCCTTGATAAGTCACCACTTGATACAATTGCACCTAAAGGAGTTTGGGGTATTATAAATAGAAGTGTGAGGAAATGTCTGGTCTGACACAAGTATGGTTCTGAATGCGAAAGTGATTGTATTAAAAGTGCTTAGAGAGTTTAGTCACTATATCCAAATATATCCTACCCGTCTCGTAGCCTACATTACAACCAAGTGAAGTCCTAATTGATCTGAGACTGAATGAGCTTGATTAGTAGAGTAGTACACTATGGGCAAGCCTATGGTGCATCTTTGTGGCATATGAATGTTCTTTCTGAGAGTGAGTGAATTTTGTCTATCTGAGTTCCTAATTGTTCTTAATGTTATTACTTGTGGAACTACTTCTCTTGTGGGATGTGAGGGCATGTGATTCACGAAGAAAAGGTAAGTCTTGACCTCTGTATAGAGTAATTCGAATAAGTATGAATATTGCAAGGCATGTGAGAGTCGACTCTTGAGGCAAAGATGTTACATTACTAGACACAACCTTGGTGATATGTTCTTGGTGTGATACGTTAGGGAAAAGCTTAGTGAAGAAACCTTTGTAGAGTATGGTGGATTGCTCGGGGACTAGCAATGATTTAAGTGTGAGGTGTTGATAATAGGCTAGATTCATGTAGTTTGGCGACTATTTATGCCCCAACTTGACTATGCTTCACTGTTCTAGGAAGGTTAAATGACGATAAAATGGCTCTAATTTTGAATTTTATGTTTTGCAGGAGCAAGTCGTGCTATGAGGACTTAGGACAGTGTTTGGAGCTAAAATAAAGCAAGGAAAGCCCCTCGGAGTTGAGTACGTGTGAAAGAAGAAAGAAAAGAGGAGATAAAGAGATGATCCACTCTAGCATGGGCCAAGCGCGGCCTTAGCGCGGCCACGCTAGAGCAGAAGAAATGGGACAGTGGAGAACGCCATATGCCCGGCCCAAGCGCGGCCGTGCTAGTCAATCTGAAGCGCAGAAAATTCAGGGGTAAACTTGGAAGTTTGGGGGCAATTCCACTTAACCTATAAGAGGTCCAGCTCGCCCAAAAAGAGGATATCAAGGTTTTCATAGTTTTATTCAAGGCAAGAAGAGGCAAGAGGCAAGGAGGATAATTCGACATCGAGTTCTACCTTTCTTCCTTTTGTTTTTATCATTGATGATGAATTTTATTGTTGTTATTATGAACACAATTATGAGTAGCTAATTATTTAGTCTAACGTTTTGATGGAACCTGTTGAGGGATGAACTTTTTGTTGTGTTAATAGAGCTTGCCAAGTTTAATCTCTATTTGTTCAACTACGTTCTTGTTGTAGTTAATTGACAAGATCCTCAATTAGTTGTGCCTATTTAATATGTATTACTCGGGAGAGAGTGCATATTTAGGTATTGTTGAACAACACCCCAAAGTATATGAGGAATCAATAACCGAGGGTTTAAAGGTGGGATTAGGGATAACGAAACCTTGGGTGCGATCTAAGTGAGCTGTAATATAAGCCAGCTAGCGTAACTCGGGAGAGTGCGTCTAGTAAATTGTTGTAATTACTCGGGAGAGATTTACGGTAGTAAGAGTGCTCATGATTGATAGAGATGATTAGGAAAATCTATACGAAACATAACAGGAAGGGATTCCATCAATAGAGGAAGTCACAACCTTAGATCTTTCTCTTATTTGTTTACAACTCAATCGTAGTTAGCTTTTAGTTTACTTGATTTTATTCAGTTATAGTTAGTAGAAATATCACCAAGTGCTATTCAAAATATCTGGGAAGTTGATTACGGAGAATTCAGTGAGTCTGACAAAAGTAATTGGTAGGTTAATTCCCTGTGAAATTCGACTCTGGGCTAAATACCCGAATTATATTTGCAACGATCGCTTATCCTTTTTATAAGGCATAGTTGGGCGTGATCGAATCTCACTTAGGTGCATGGGTCCCGTAGCCAAGTCCTCTCTTATTCCTACTATGGTGTTCATGTAGCCATGAAAGTGTATCGGAGGACCTGTTCCACTTACAGTTTCTGTCTAGCTCGTGCTTGACCTTGCTTAGATCCTCCTTTAGGACTCTTATCTGCTCATCTCTTTTGTACAACTCATCTTTCATTTTTCCTAGATTTTCTTCTAAAGTGAGTTGTGTGTTATCAGCTTTCTTTTTACCTGTTCCTAATTTCAGTTTTAGATTTTCAGATCTAAGATCTAGGACATTGGTGTCGAGTTCATGAACCTGGTTCTTTAACACAACATTTTTACTATCACTTTCACTAGCCCCAAGTTCCAGATTTTTGCACTTAGCTTTCAAAATCACACTCCTTAGACTGCTGTTCCTTTTCATTGTTAAGATTCTCAGATTCATCAATGAAATCTAGAAGTAACTCAGATAGCCTTTCTTTACAAAAATTTAATCTTGTCTTTGAGATGAATTACATTTACCTCAGATTCCTCATCAGATTCTCCAATGACCATAAGTGCTTGTTCATCTCCATCTTCATCATCTGAGCTTTCTCCCCAAGCAGCAACCATTGCGTTGATCCTTTGTTCTTCTTGGGTTGAACCTGTTCCTTCTTCCTGTTTTTTCGTTCAACTCTTTCCTTCTTCCATTCAATTTCCCATTGAGGGCAGTTTTTGATGTGGTGATAAGTCTTCCCACACTTGTAACATCCTTCATTGGTTTGCTTTTCAAGAATCCTTAGTTTGCTGTAGTTTCCACTTCTTGAAGGACCCTTTCCTTTCATTAGGTACTTCTTGAAGTCCTTTGTGATCATGGCCATTTCATCATCTTCTAGTTCAGAACCTTCAGTGATTCTGAGTGCCAGGCTCCTTTCCTTCTTGGGTACATCCATCTTCATGGTTTGCCTTCTACGTTCATAAGCAGTGAGATTTCCAATTAGCTCATCCAACTTGAGAGTGGAAATGTTCTTTGATTCCTGAATGGCAGTGATTTCGCTCTCCCAAGTGACTGGTAGAACCCTTGTCAAAATCTTCTCAACTCTATCTTCTTCAGGGATAATCCTTCCAAGAGACTTAAGTTCATTTGTCAGTGTGGTGAACCTTGTATACATCTCCTGGATGGTTTCCCTTTCCTTCATGGTGAAATTCTCATATTAAGAATACAATAGTGTTCCTCTGGACCTCTTCACTTGAGGTGTTCCTTCATGAGCCACTTGCAAAGTGTCCCAGATTTCCTTAGCAGTGGTACAACTTTGAATTCTACTGTACTCATCTGGACCAAGTCCACACACAAGCCATTTCTTGGCCTTAGCATTATTTTCCCATTTCCTCAAGTCCTCATCAGTGCAGTCAGCTCTCGTTTTTGGCACATCTACTCCTTCAGCATTCTTCTTCATGGTAGCTAGGGGACCATCATCAGTGATAATGTCCTATAGCTCATACTCTTCTTCGATGATATGATCTCTCATCTTGTTTTTCCATCAAGAGTAGTACTGGCCATTACAGAGTGGAGGCCTAGCAGTGGATTGCCCTTCCCAGTTTCCAGGTGGTGCGCTCATCTTGATATGTTCCTAAGGTGTTAGCCTTTTCAAGGATAACCTGCTCTGATACCAATTGATGTTTTAACTTCAATACCACACAAGAAGGGGTTGATTTGTGTGGTGTCCAATTTTTCGTTTAAACTGATTATAGAAGGACCTGGTTCTTCTAAGTGTTCCTTAACCTACTATTGCTGAATTAGCAAATGCGGAAAGTAAAGAACACAAGTATTTTACATGGAAAACACTTGGCTCAAAAGGTGAAAAAACCATCACCTACTTCTCAGTAGGATTTCCCCAAACTCTCCATTAAATCAATGAGCCAAAAACTGCATTTACAAAACACTTTTGTAAACCTATTATTAACTCTAATCCCGTTGTTGCAAATAGCCTCTAGCTATTGCGACCACTTTAAGTTAACTCTAACTTGAATACTCTGAGTACCTATTACAATTGCCTCTAGATAAAGCTGAAAAGTACAATATGAAAACACCTACTACAATTGAACTAGAATAAAAGACAGACACTTGGAACTGGTTCATGTAGCTTCAGGTTTGCACTTGAATCACACACAAACTGCTTGCAAAAAGCCTTGTTATTTTGCTCTCAATTCACGTTTAACTTCTGCGTTTGTGCATTACCTGTAAAGTGAGAACATCCTACAATTTATAGAGTTAGTAGATGAAAAAATAACTGAGTTCTAATGCTACTTTTCCTTGGTGGAAGAGTTCTAGTTGATCTCAACTTCTAACTCCTTCCCTATCTTGGATAGTGTTCTCTTTGAGTAAGGAGTCCTTCTCCTTATCAATTATTCAACCTTTTCGATCAGGAGATATAAAGTATTCCAAGTTAAGCTTATCTCTTTCATGTGCATCCCACATGCTTGAATCTGCCCGTTTCTATGCACCCAAGGGATGAACCTGGTTCATGCCTGGGCCAACAGACTTATAGGTCCTCACCTAGTTGTAAAAATTGGCACCACCATAATAAGACAATAACTTCTTCATTTATTTCAAGGACATATCTTGATAGAATTAAAAACAATAAGGGATGGAAGTTGTCTGAATTTAGAGATACGATCAGCGTCAAGCTTAAAGCACAAGTGACTTCAACTCAAGCTAGAACGGCTATGAAAAAGGCATGGAAATATGAAATATCAATTTGCCATTCTTTGGGATTATGTTAATGAGATTGACAGGAATAACCCGGGAACTTCAATTTATATGAAGTTTACTGACAATGAGATGCCTGATAAGACATATAGATTTCAAAGGATCTATTTGTGTTTTGCTGCTTGTAAAGAGGCATTTAATGCTGGATGTCGCAAAATAGTAGGTGTGGATGGGTGTTGGTTGAAGGGCCCAATGTATGGAAATCAATTATTAACAGCAGTTGGTCTTGATGCTAACAACAACATATTTCCAATAGCATATGTTGTTGTTGAAAGAGAAACCACGGAGACATGGGCATGGTTTTTAAATCACTTGGTTAGTGACTTAGAGATTGATTATCAAGAAAGTTGGACCTTTATGTCCGACAAACAAAAGGGTCTTATTGAAGCATTTAATGAGGCTTTGCCATATGTTGGCCATAGATTTTGTGTGAGACGCCTCCATAACAACTTTAAAGGGGCTGGATTTATTGGAGAATCCCTCAAGCATGCACTTTGGACTGCTGCCAAGGCTACAACTGTGAAGTTATTTGATATTTGCATGGAGAAGATGTATGAATTGGATGCCGAAGCTGCTACGTGGCTGAATGAAAATGCACCTAGTGAATGGACTAAATCACATTTCTCTTCAGGTGCTAAATGTGATGTTTTATTGAATAATATGTGTGAAAGTTTTAACAGTACGATTCTTGATGCTCGAGACAAGCCAAATATTACCTTGTTGGAGAAATTAAGGTATCTTCTTTTGGCAAGATTCCAAGTTAATAGGGATAAAGCAGAAAGATGGAACTCGGGTGATATTTGCCCTCGGATCAAGAGCTTACTGCATAAGAATGAGTCTGCGGCAGCTGCATGTATTCCAAGAAAATCGAATATGTGGAACTATGAAATTCTTAGATCGTCCACTGCCGACAATTGGATTGTTGACCTTCAAAATAGAAAATGTAGTTGTAGAAAATGGATAATAACAGGAATTCCTTGCAAACATGCAATATCGGCTATTTGGGCTAAACATGATGATGTTATTGAATACGTTGATGATTGCTATACAGTTGACACGTACAGAAAAATTTATGAAAAAGCTATCTTTCCGATCAGTGGGTCGCAATTGTGGGCTAAATCGAATAAAGTCCCTCCTTTACCTCCGAGACCTGTAAGACAAAACAAGAGGGGAAGAAATCAAAATTTGAGAAGAAGAGAGTCTGATGAAGCAGGATCAAGTAGAACAAGAATGAAGAAAAAGCAAACATCTGTCAATTGTAGCTTATGTCACAAAACCTGGCCATAATAAGAGAAAATGCAAATTGAACCATGTGGAGTCAGAAGTAGGTGTACATGACTCAGCTTTTTGGATGCCTCCTACATCAACAGTTTCCGAGAAGTTGCCAGTAAAATCTTTGGCGTAATATACGAATTGACTCTCCATTATAGGATTTATAATACAATATTATTTTTTATCTTGCTTGCAGGTTAGAAGTGTTAGGACCGTAATAATCAGGTGTCATGCGGAAGCTAGTAACACAACACTTGAACAACGATAAATCAGACAGTAAAAGAGAAATCTACCAAAAGAGACACAAACATATAACGTGGTTCGGTCAACTGACCTACATCCACGACGGAGATGAGCAATCCACTATAATAAAATAGAGTACAAAATATCGAGAGAACAACCTCACGAAGAGGCAAACACAAGTGATACGCTAACACTTGTCCCGTAAAGTTCTCCCCTAAACACGACTCTCAAACCCCATATAGCTACATTGTGGATGCTACTGAATAAGAATGATGGATCTTCAATTTATAGAGCTCCAACCTTTTATTATAGTGAATAAGTAAACCCTTCTATATGCTAAAAATAAAAAAGCCCATGATCCCCTAGTAGATATATTTTGGCCAGAGAATCATAATGACCCTTTCTCACTCATCCGAACTCCGAATAAGGCGTCGTCTGTTCCTAAAGCTTTCTCTTGACTTCCTTCACACTTCCATGAAGTTTCATTCCATTCCCATACTCGTGGAAATAGTTATGGATTTCGGACACATCAGTAAATTACGACAATGCCACTGCCCTTGGCAAAGTCAAGCCCATAGGCAAACGAACTCCAAATGACGCCAAACTTGGTCAGAATATACAAGACTTGTTGTTCGTGAAAAAGATGCATCTACCCATTTTTGCAGCTCATAAACCCGAGAGTATATCTGATGAAGATTGGGATTTCGATCACCAACAAGTATGTGGATATATAAGACAACGGGTTGAAGATAATGTTCGCAACCATATTGTGAACGAGACACATGCGATATCATTGTGGGAAAAGCTAGAGACTCTTTATGCTTCAAAAACTGGGAATAACAAGTTGCTCCTGCTAAAGCAATTGATGACCTTTAAATACAAGGAAGGCATCCCTATCCTTGATTACATAAATGATTTTCAAGGCGCCCTTGATCAGCTGTTGGAATGGGAGTTAATTTTGATGATGAGATACAAGGACTTTAGCTTCTTAATACTCTGCCTGACTCTTGGGAAATTCTTCGTGTTTCTTTGACAAATTCAGCTCTTGGAGGTAAGGTGACCATGGAATATGCCAAGAGTGGTGTGTTGAACGAGGAAGTAAGGAAAAAATCTCAGGGTTCGTCCTCACAAGCAGATATCTTGGTTACAGAAGACCGGGGGAGAGATAGAACAAAAGGCTCGTGGAATAGAGGTAAAAGTAGAAGTAAGTCAAGGTCCAAATACCATAATATTACATGCAACCACTGTGGCAAGAAAGGACATATCGAAAGGTTTTGCCGCAAGTTGTTGCAAGACATTAGAGAAGGAAAGAAAGTTGAAATAACGAGAACAATGTTGCTGCTATTGTTCGAGATGACCTTATTTTTGCATATGATGAAAGCGTCATCAATTTGGTATCCCATGAGACAAGCTGGATAGTAGATCCTGGAGCTACCTCACATGTCACACCAAGAAAAGACTTTTTCTCATCTTATACTCCTGTTGATTCTAGAGTGTTAAAGATAGGCAATGCTAGTGAAGTTAAGGTGTTTGGTGTTGGCACAGTTTGTTTGAAAATTAATAATGGTTCAACGTTAGTTCTTCAAGATGTCAAGCATGCTCCAGACTTTCCTTTCAATTTGATCTCCGCAGGAAGATTAGACGATGAAGGTTACCATAATGCCCTCTTTAATGGCCAATGGAAGCTCACCAAGGGCTCGTTAGTAGTGCCTCGAGGAGTCAAGTCTGGTCATTTATATGTGATACAGGGCTCTATTCTTAATGACTCCATAAATCTGGTGGAAAGTGACACTTTATCAAAATTGTGGCATAGAAGATTGAGTCATATGAGCGAGAGGGGATTATGTGTTTGGCTAAGAAAAGTTTGCTTTCTGGAGTGAAACAAGAAAAGCTGAAAAGGTGTATCCATTATTTAGCTGGAAAGCAGAAAAGGGTTTTCTTTCATAGCCATCCTCCCTCAAGAAAGCCCGATTTATTGGAGCTAGTACACTCTGATTTGTGTAGTCCTTTTAAAGTAAAGTCAAAAGGAGGTGCACTTTACTTTGTGACCTTCATTGTGATCATTCTCATAAGCTCTTGACTGATGGAATTTCAGGCCTTAGCTGAGAGACAGACGGGGGGGGGGGGGGGGGAATTAAAATGTATTCGCACTAACAATGGTGGTAAATATTGCGGTCCCTTTGATAAATATTGCAAGGAACAAGGAATTCGTCATCAGAAAACTCCGCCAATGACGCCTCAATTGAATGGTTTGGCAGAGAGGATGAATAGAAGTCTAGTTGAGAGAGTTAGATGCTTGCTTTCAGATGCTAAACTTCCAAATACATTTTGGGCGGAAGCACTTAATACTATTGCCTATGTTATCAATTTGTCTCCTACTGTTACTTTGGATGGTGATGTCCCAGACAGAGTTTGGTTTGCCAAAGATGTTTCTTATGTTCACCTGAGAGTTTTTGGGTGTAAAGCTTGTGTGCATGTTCCTAAAAATGAGAGAACTAAACTGGATGTCAAAACTAAGCAGCGCATCTTTATCGATTATGTTCAAGATGAGTTTGGGTATCGTTTTTATGATCCAGTTGATAATAAATTTGTTAGAAGTCGTGATGCAATATTCTTTGAAGACCAAACTATTGAAGATATTGACAAAGCCGAGAAGATAGATTCTCAGATTAATGAGAGCTTAGTTAATATTGATCCAGTTTCAATTGCTAAGGCACCTATTGCACATGAAGGAACCCAAGACAATGATGGAGATAGTGATTAAGATCAAAATGATCATCATGGTGTAGGTTTTTTTGATGCTTCAGTTGATTAAGTTGTGGTTGATCAGCAACCAGTTCTTGCTCAGGTAACTACTTCAAATGCTCCTGAAACCTCTCTTAGAAGATCTACAAGGGAGAAGCAAAAATCCATGCGTTATCCTCCTGATGAGTATGTAATTTTGACTGACACGGGAGAACCTGAGAATTATGATGAAGCCATGCAAGATACTCACAAAGATCAGTCAGTGGATCGAAGCCATGGAAGATGAGATGAAGTCACTCCATGAGAATGGCACATATGAGTTAGTGAAATTGCCGAAAGGTAAGAGAGCTTTATCTAACAAATGGATATTCAGAATAAAGCAAGATAACCATACCTCTGCGCCTAGATACAAGGCGAGGTTAGCTGTTAAAGGTTTTGGCCAGAAGAAGGGAGTTGGCTTTGATGAAATATTCTCTCCTTGTAATGATATCTTCAATTCCTGTGGTTCTAGGCTTAGCCGTAAGTCTAGATTTAGAGGTTGAGCAGATGGATGTCAAGACTGCTTTTCTTCATGGTGATTTAGATGAGGAGATTTATATGGAGCAGCCTGAGGACTTTGTCGTTAAGCTTGCAGATAAGCATGCGTTTTGGAGAAAATTGGCAGGCATGAAGCCTGTCAATAGTTTCTCTACTTGAAGACATATTCGGCCCCTTGGCTGGAGGGGGAGTTTGTTGGGCACATGCCCATGTTGTCTAGTCAAATGCTCAATAGCCTAATCCTATTCTCTTTTGGTTTCCATTCCTATTCGGATTAGGTGTTTATTCCTATTTTGAGTGGGTTTTGGCTTTAAGGAAAGCACCACTCATGATCTATAAATAGGACAATATTGGAGAATTATTCTATGCTCATTGATACAAGTATTTAAAAGACTTAAGCACATAAGAGTGGTTTTTGAGAGAGCTTTCATCAAGAGAGAAGAGAGAAGAAAAGTATTTGTTTTGCTGCAGATTTTTATTCCGACCAGCCAACTTCAAATCACGTTTTTCGATTCGTTAACCGTTGGATCGGGCTCATACTCTGACTGAGTGTTCGTAACGTCTTGATCATCGATTTGAACGGTGAAGATTGGATTTGCCCGAAGTATCTGATTTCGAGCCTCGAACAGCAACTTCGTTTTTGTGGATTCTCCTCTTTCTTCAATTGATTTATTGTTGCTCCTTGTTTGGAACTTGTTGTATAGCCAATTTGGAGAACTTTTATAACCCTCTTATTGTTATAGTGGAGCTTTTTAGATCTTTGTGATCCCGTGGTTTTTACCTTCGATTTGAAGAGTTTTCCACATTAAAATTTTGTGTTCTTTATCTTCTTTATTTTCGGGTTTGCCTCTTCCTCAACATAACAAGGAGAGCAAATCCTGGACCAACTCAAGATACTAGACTAAATCACGATTCTCGAAATATTTAACATGATCTGCTATTATTTTTTGTTAAATGGGACAAGGTGCTGCTGCTTTTTGCTATGATGAAACCTGAAGATGCTGCTTTTTTGTTGAATGAATCTACTGTCTTAGAAGAGTAGTTTTAGTTAATTGTTTAAGCCATGTCAACTATTATTGTGCAGCTATCTTTTCTGGTGTTTCTTAAACTAGAGAGAGACTTTATTTTCTTTGTCCCATAGTTATGTAAAGTTATTCTTGATTTTTAGCTCCTCAGACAAAAATCTACATCTCATGAATTTATTACTAAGTTATATGCTACTATTGTATGCACCTAGTTCATCTAATTAAGAGACAAAAACCAATAATTGGATATCACTAATAGCTAGTAAACTTGTAGAGTTACTACGTGATTCATGACATTTTGACCTCCAAAATACAGTAGCATATTCATGACAAAAAGCACAATCGAATAAGACTTTTAATTGGTAAAAGAGATAAAAAAAGGATTTTTCTTGGAAAAGAGATGGGTTCACATTTGGGGATGATGGAAGAAGGCAAGGTTTTTGTTTGTACTTTTGTTTCTCACGTGGTTCTGTTCATTTTAACGAATTTGTAGTGGGTACCGTCACTTTTTAAGGCTAAAGACCAAACCGATTAGCTTTTGGTATATATTAAGGACCTTTTCCGTTAGGTGTTATACATCAGGGACCAAATGGATCCAATGTCCATACATATTAGGGACGGTTTTGATCATTTCCTCAATATGATACCCAACAAAAAAGGGTCTCTTTTATTTTCTATTTTGGTCTCTCTCTTTCGGTCTCTCTCCCAGCGTAGCAAAGTAAAGAATTTGGTTTCTTTCTCCCTTCATTCCCTCGTTTTTGCTCAATATCTCTCATTGAAGTGAAGGTTTCTGTTCCCATTAAAGTGAAGATTTCTATTTCTAGAAGTTGGTTATGATATTAACAAGATCCGAAAAAGATAAAACGCACTGTTGTGGGATGACGGACGCGCGAAATAAGAAGATAATTTAGTCAATGCTTAAATGATTGTTAATCAATCCGAGAAATTTGAAGATGAAGTAGCGTTGCTAGTACTTGAGTTTTAGTTATAATTTTATTTATCTTTTTTGGGGATTATTTTCCTGTTGATGTCTTATCCATCGGTTTATTTTCAATACTAGATGAGGTATTCAGCACGGGCCCAATACTTTAAATTTTCTTTACTTCTGTCAGATCCTGCACTACACTGTTACAGGACATGTGAAAAATAAATCTGTTGAAACACACAAAAGCAAAGCAATAAATAATCCTTAGCAAATAGCAAAGGAACATTTAAAGTCGTACATTACAAAGACGCGAGAACAAATAGAAAACTTGTGGATATCTGAACCTTGATAACTTTCTTATATTACATGGAAGAACAAAACTAAACTCTGATGTTTTTGACATAATTTTTCATGCATACTTTTATGGAGGATTAAATTTTAACCAAAAGAAAGCATTCTTTAGTTGAGAATGAAGAACAAATTCATATCTTTCCAGCAATTAGAAACTCAAAGGAAAGATGAGAGTGATCAAGATAATCTAGAATGATAAATGACTTCAACTTTGGTCAGAAGTCGAATCGATTTTTTGAAGCACAAAAGAAAAGCATCCTAACAATTCAATCTCAAAAATAGGAAAAGCAGCTTGGATCATCAGTGGTTGACAGAGCGCTCCAACAGGTTTCAAAAATAAAAGAATTGAACAATTTCATAAGTTTGAAGAATTGAACAATGATCCAGAAGTGCTCATATTCATGGGCAACTTCAAAGCAAATCGACCCAATAAGAACAGTGACATAAGAAATATTGTTATAATATTCCATATAATAGTTTTACCCAGAAAACAATAAAAAAAGAAAAAAGCTCCACAGATTAAATTGTAGGTAGTATTATTTACAAACTAATAGTCAATGAGTCAAAAGATTTACTTAGCCAGGTGAAAGTTCATTAGTACACTGTCGCAAAGAAGCGCTCCTCAAAGAAAAGATATCGACAAAAACAAATTTAGGTGATGTCTTCAGGCCTTACATTATCTAACTTCCATGTCCTTTCGTCAAGGATATGGTTTTTTCCGTGTAATCCCTCAAAAAGATATGGAAGTCATGCTCTAATTTTTTAAAGATTTAGGTTATTAGCTTTGCAACTAATAGGTAATAAAACTTCTTTCTTATTGTGTGGTTCTTTCTTTCAAGCAGGCTTGATTAATCATTAAAGTATTGAAAAAAAAATGTAATACAATCGACACAATATTCTAGAGATTTATATTGTGTTTCTGCATAATATTTGTGCTACTGCTTTTTCATTTATTCGCTGTCTCTCACGTTGCTGATATTATTTTTCAGGTTTTGTTGTCACAGATCGATTATCTCTGAGCCAAGGGTCTCCCAGAAACAGCCTCTCTACCTCCTCTGGGGTAGGGGTAAGGTCTGCGTACACTCTACCCTACCCAGACCCCACTGGTGGGATTGTATTTGGTTGTGTTGTTGTTGTTGTGCTAATATCTTAGAGTTGTGCCGAAAAAATTCTAATTTCTTAGAATTCTTTTCCCGGTAATTTTACCCTCTTTTTTGGTGAAGTAAGATAATTTTATTAAATGGCATCAAGAAGATGTATAGCAAAAACTACACAACAAAAGTGTGGCTGCTCATATACAAAAACTTACTGAGTAACTAAGGAGCAGATACAATCCAACAAAACTTCAAAGCTAGTTACAGGGCCTGGTTGAACCCACTAAATAAATTGATTAGACAAGTTTTACCCTCTTGACATGATGGTTATTTGTATTGTCTATTTCTTCAGGTGAAGCAAGTTAATTGAGGTGAGTTGATGAGATTTATTATAGGAAGTTACAATGAGCACATGACCTAAACAGAATGGGAAAATTTGACAAAGAGATGATCTTTGAATTACTGAAATACTCTAAACATAGGCTTAGAGTGATGTATTTAGCAAAAAAATAAGCCAGTATCATTTGGCAGTTAGATCCCGCCAAACCTGTCATTCACAACACAAAGACTTTCTTGTGATCCTGGAAAAGATCTCAATACAAAGCAGCATGTACTGAGACATGAAAATTAGACCAAAATGACAAATTAGGGACCAGACTTAAATGAACTCCGGGAACCCATAATCTGACGATTCTTTCACATATGATCTTTTTCGTGAATTCGACATCAGTGATCTACGACCATCCTTTCTTCTAAGCAATGTTGGTAGTTTCAACAACGTTTTAGAATTCAACTAAAGCTAAGAGTTATGAACCAAAAGTGCATGAAATAAAGGAACATATCAAGATAGTTAACTGCCTTGACTTCATAAAGTAGTTGAAACGCAATAATCTAGTAGGCTTTTTCTCAGTGACTCGACAATATGACATTGCTCCACTTGAGCCTTTTCACAAATGTTGTCTTCTAAACTACCCAAAAAATATTTTAACAACAAACAAAACCAGCTCTTAGTAGTTCCAATAACTAAACTCAATTACATGGAGAATCATTAACAGTCACAAGACTATTTTTTCTCATAATAGCGATGCACGATATAGTTCTAAATGGTATACAAACACAGATATTAAAAAGGAAATAAGAAGTATTATTTTCTTTTAAGGTGTGCATCAGTAATAAGAAGGCATATTGCACTGCTTTTCTACAGTCTATTTAATTCTAAAAAAATTGTCAACCTCAGAAAATAACATGTGAAAGTCACAAAGGATTATCAGATAGATTCTTTTTTTCTATCGTTATTTGTGTAAAAGCAAATTCGCAATAGCTCAAAATAATAAAAAGTAAAGGAGCCATTCATACTGGTCGTAAAAACTCAATACATGCCTTGTAAATCCACTTCAAGGAAACGATCGGTATGTGTGAAACTCTCGCTCTATATGTGCATTCTTTCCTGAAAAGCAAGAAGAGATTCAATTTAATGCTTTTGGCAAAAATTAAAAATAATACCTGTTTACAATAATCTGTTACAAATGTATAGCTTACCAGGGCAAGAGGAAAGGTGAAAAACTTTGCCATCCATATCATAAATTTATCATATTAGAAGAGATCACCAACCCAAAAACTATAATTCATGATTCACTCAGCTCTCAGAAATTTGCAATCACAGTTAATTTGTTTGCTGAAAAATTAAACTAATTAAGTAATGCAAAAGTTTCAAGGAAAACTTCCTTAGTTGTGTTTCTTAAAGAAAACATCAATCGTGCAGGGGTAAAATTGCATGTAACTGCAAATAATTCATTATCAATTAACTGTGTGAATGCATATGCAATCGGAGTTCTCAACCAAAATTTAGAGTAAGCTCCATCCGACTTCTCAACTGAGACTTAGAGTAAGCACCATCAGGAACTCTATAAGAATGGAAGTAAAACTTCCCGAGGTTGGTGCATCATGTTGAGCATGAAGATGCATTGTGAACACAAATTCTTTCTTATTGTGTAAAAAAAAGGAGATTAAGCAATATTGACTCCTCTCGCAACCTAGATAATCACTCTTTGGTCAAAGAATACTGAAGTTGAAGTAACACCAATTAAAATGCACTCACTCAAAAAGAACTAATGACTATAAGAAGCAGAATATTCTAAAAATATGCTAATCTATAATTATAAAATTTTCAATCAATTGATAGCCAAGTGATTTGAATTAACCTTTTTTAAGGTATACACTTGTGCATATACAAGATTTCTACCGAAGTTTACGTGTCTGGTGACCCCTCAACATTACACATAGGTCCGCCTCTAGTCTTAGTTGCAGAAAGTTATTCTTCTTAACATGTTGGCATCGTGCTTGAGACGACTTAAGTATCTTGTTGGAATAAAAACTTGTGCTCTTGTTTGTTGGGAAAGAGATCTGATTTTAGTATGTAGCCAATAAACATGAGTATAGCAATGCATATGCCTTTATTTTCCTTCTAACACGTAACAGGTTGTATGTAGGAGCTGCCTTTTGGGTTTGGGGGGGGGGGGGAGGGAACGGAGGAGTGAATGGAAGAATTGACGAGAGATGAAAATAGAAAATCAATAAAAACGAAAAAAAAGAACCATCAGATTGGTATAACAAAATTTAAAGGGACATTTATCGAAATTCAAAAGGAAGTCAAAAGCAAATGAAATTACTACTATAATCAATTTGTTCATCATAATCTATCTCGATCTCCCAACAACATTTTACGCATAGCAAACCTTCCGAAGCTCTACCCCTTTCTCTATTACAGACATCAGCCACGAATTCCAGGAATGAAATTCGGAAGTCTAAAGACAAACTGGAAGAAATTGGGCAAAAGTTGAGAATAATCATACTTGAAATTAGAACAACCCAGCTGAGAAGATATAAAGAATTGAGAAAAATAGTCTTTGAAGATCTGAAGAAAGATAAAGAGATAATGCAAAAGGAACATTTTAAGGATGAAAGAGAGAAACAAAAGTAAGGAGACGAACAGATGAACAAGAACATAGTAGGAAACAACTATGAATTTCGGCAATGAAATTGAAATTGAGAAATTTGAAAAGAATTAGGAGAAGAATAAAGCAAAAATTGAGAGAAAAGCTTACCCGAAATTGAAAGACCCAGCTGCGATGATGAAGAGAATCGAAGATTAGTCCTTAAAAGTGTCGAGAGCATAAAATTCTGAAAGCAAATGAAAGAATCGAGGGAGAGAAATGCTGAAACGGATTAGTAGTATTAGTTTAGGGAACTATCTGACATATATGCCAATAATCAACCAATAGAAACATAAATAAAAAGAAATAAAGAAATGGCAAGATAAAATGACAATTTTGCCCTTGATCGACCATCTTTCCTTTTCTATATAATAATCTATCTATATATTGTATGAATATGATTTTATATAAAAATTTACACACTACACATTATACATGCAAATAGAGTTATACAGCTACGCATTCATTATTCAATGATAAATGAATATTGAATCTGCAAGCTCGAACAAATATACAACTATCGCATTTATACACGAATTAGACAGAGTTATCCATAAATTATACATGCAGAGGAAAACACATATAGTACATAATAAATTTTTTACACACAGCTACACATGGATTATATATGATACACGTGCAAACATGGCTATATACATATATATACATTCATTATTCAACGCTGAAAGAACAATCAATATGCAAGCTCTAAAATATTCATCTCTCACATTTATACATGAAGTAAACAGAATTATCCACAACTTATACAAGTAAAGGAAAATACACGTAGCATGTAATAAAAAAATTAGACATAGCTGCATATGGGTATACACACGCACTGCTAGTCACATTAATGTTTTCTTTTTTTATTTGCTTTCCGCTAATTATCCACGTAATTGTAGGGACCTATTTTCTGTATACAACGATTTTTATCCGACGCTCTTATTTGGTCTGGCTACCTATTTTAGGGTTATTTTTTGTAAACTAATTTTTAGGGCTAGGAGGAGTTGTAAAGACTAATGGGCTTGCTATTTATGTTTTTTCAAGTGTTGCACTATTTGCTCTCGTTGTCTGAGGGACAAGCCTCTAAAGCTACGCAAATTTTGATAGGGCTGGCCCGTTATTTGGGTTCTAAATCTTCGTCAGCTTAGGGAATGTTACCTATAGCCGGAAGTACTTCCCATCTCTCACAGGCTAAATTTGGCACCTGACTAAAATAATATCAATGTTACACTTACACAGGCCCAAACTCAGCATATCGTGCAATGGTTGACTACATTTTCTTCTTCTGATTATATAGCAAAAAATTTGTATTTTTATGGCATAGGTTATTCATTATTATTATTATTATTATTATTATTATTATTATTATTATTATTATTATTATTATATTTTTTGGCCTCTTTCACCATTTCCTAATTAGTAGCTAATGAAAATACTTTGGTGATTAACAAGTCAAGATGAGATCAAGAAGTCTCAGCTCAAATGACGTTAGAATATAGGGTTTTTTCCCCATCAAATTGCCGGTATCCTCTCTACCAGTGTCCTTTAGAGAGTGTTAATTATCACATATTCATAACTAAGTAAATTTATTCACTTTAATTTGCAACTGTTAAAGGTAATGCATGTGAATATTGTTAATATCATATAATCATTCTACCCTATTTATCTATGTATGGGTTAATTTGGTGACCACGGTAACGGATACGCAATACAAAGGACGGGGTCGATCATGATATAACAATTGAAGGTTGTTCTCACAAAGGCTGATGCCAAAAGCAGGCAACCGAGATCAGAAAGTAACGATAGCATAGGTTCAGAAGTCGACATAAAGAATATTCCTTTGGATATTCTTTATGCTGTACTTTTTAGGGTTTTGAGAGAATATCCCCTATAAATAGGAAGAGAGAGGGAACAAAAGGGGATCTTCGTTTTTTCTGGACAAAAGACATATTGTAAGAGTTGACAAAGGAGAATATCCAAAAGTTGTCTAATTTTGTTGGTAATACTAAAAAGCACACGTTGTTCCATCTGGATCCATAAATCTAGAGATTCCACATCCATCCCGACTTCATACTTTTCCACGTTGCAGACAGAGAAAAGGGACATCCCAATCATATAATAGTTGGGTGGTAGATCCTTTTTCATTACATTTATTGCCATTGCTCACATTCATTGCATATTTATACCACCTTATTTATTGTCAATCATAGTGTATTGAATCTGTTATTTGATGCATCCGAACACTGCTTGTTTCATAAATCATCTATTTTATCCGGTCTAGAAGTTATTAAATTCAACTAAGATTCACCCCTTTAATTCATCATTAATTGGTTTAGCTATTATTTGCTCAAACAATTTGGCGCCGTCTGTGGGGAAGTTTTAGTTGAAATTTTAGTTCCCTCTAGATCACAAAAAGACAGCCATCTCTTCTTCGCTTGTATAAACTAACGAAGGCAGGAAAAGCCGAGACAAGGCAGAAAGCCATAGCAGATGTCACTACCAATATTTTGAACACCATCAACAAGGATGACAGAGAAGACAACGAGAATGTGACACCAAACGTTGCGCTCAGATGGAATGACTCACCCCCTCATGAAAGCATAACCGCTTCACGCGAGAGAGGAGCCTCCATGTTTACAACTGAGGAAGCACCACCAGTAGTAAAAAACTTACTGGAAGAGTGGCTGACGAGCACTCTAAACAACATACTCGACAAACCTATTCAAAGGGAGAGCAGATGCAAACAGATATCACAACGATCACTAGCGAGCAGCCCGTCCCTCAAACAGGTAACACTTACACCACTGTTGATGCAGGTAGTGACACACTCGCAGCCATTCTGAAGAAAATGGAAGAAATGGAAATTGAAAACAAGGCACTCCGCGACCAGATGAGGGAGCATCAAGAAAGGGTCGATAAGATACCGGGCGCCCCAAAGTTGCTACCAAAACGAGACGTTGGTTGGTTCGTCGAACAACCGTATAGCGAGGAAGCGGCCCCACATGCCATTCCCAAAACCATCAAAATGCCACCGTACCTGAAGACATACGATGGTACTACAGACCCCAAAGATCACATCATCCATTACATCATAGCTGTGAAGGGCAACGACCTTTCGAAGGAGCAAGTACCATCAGTGTTACTGAAAAAGTTCGGCGAAACCTTACCAGGGGGAACCTTAACCTGGTATTCACAACTGTCGGTGCGGTCGATAACAACGTTCGAGGAAATGGCTAATAAGTTTGTCACTGCCCATGCAGGGGCAAAAAAGGCGGAGGCCAGGGTGAATGATATATTCGTCGTTAGACAACCGCCTGGCGAGGGACTCAGGCACTTCCTCGCCAGGTTTAACCGGGTAAGAATGAGGCCTACCAAATATATCCGAAGGGATGGCGGTAGCAGCTTTCCAAAATGGGTTGAACAAGAACGGATCGAGAGCAACCAAAAAGTTATTAAGCAGGCTCATGAAATACCCTCCCACCACTTGGGAAGAAATCCACAATACCTACTGCGTCGAGGTGAGAGCCGACGAGGACGACCTTAACTGTCCGACCCAACGGTTGACATCAGTTCAAACGGAGCCGAGAAAAGATTGCCGTAACGACGGTCGAAGAGATCAGTCAGGCCCCCGTCTCAACCGAGAAAGATATCAACCCTACATCAGAACAGCCATCCCACCATCTCCTCGACATGCGGAAGGGCCGTCCAGAACGCATACAGGGACTCAGCGAAACGAAAGAGGTATGCCTCCACTCTTATCTACTCACAATTTTTGTGTTTCCCCTTCAGAAATAGTGTACGCACTAGAGAAGCTTGGCACTAAGGTGAAATGGCCACAAAAGATGAAGTCTGACCCAAGTACCCGAAAGTCGAACGCCCTCTGCGAATTTTACCAGGAGCGGGGTCACAAAACTGAGGACTGCATAGCTCTACGGCAAGAGGTAGTAAACATGCTGAACCAAGGGCACCCGAGGGAACTGATGAGCGACCATGGACGAGCGAACTTCGGCCGCGGACGTGAACAACACCAGGGGCCTCCAAAGCCACCCTCCCCCGTTCGTACCATCTAGATGATCATCAGTGGAGGTGATGAAGCAGCGATCAACCATGTGAAGTTCACCACTACACACATACTGAAGCGGTCGATCACTCACGAACGGTACGACGACCTCGAAGACAGTATCTTCTTCCATAAGTCAGATACCGACGGTTTGACTTTCCCTCATTTTGACTCCCTTGTTATTACTTTGCATATTTCAGATACTGATGTGAAAATAATAATGGTAGACGACGGAAGCGGCGCGTGTATTATCCACCCTCGAGTCCTCACGCAAATGAAACTCGAAAACAAGATAGTATCGCGTTGCATAACACTAACAAGTTTTAACAATGCAGTTGAGCGGACCTCTGGGGAGATAACGCTACCCGTTCTGGCCGGGGGCGTCACCCTAGAAACAACATTCCATATCATGAATCGAGACATGGCTTACAACGCCATCATAGAGCGGCCATGGATACACGCTCTGAGAGCCATACCGTTAAACCTATACCAAGTAATCGAGTTCCCTAATCCATGGGGGATATTCATCATCCGAGGCGAATAACGTACCGCCCAAGAATGCTATCGTATTGCCCAAGATTGCACATACACCCAACAACTAAAGGGAATAGACCCAGAAGCATAGCAATTACCGAAGTCGGGGACCAGACTCGACGCACAAACAAACGTCATCAGGGACTCCGATATCGTGGAAGCCGCTGAGTCAACGGTAGAAGACCTCAATCCCATCCAACTGAGCAGCAGCAACAGCAACAAAAATGCTTACATCGGACACAAACTCTCAGAACCAGGTAAATTTCACAAGTTTTTAATTGACAATGCCGATTTGTTCGCCTTCTCCCATGTAGATATGCCAGGCATCTCGAAAGACGTTGCCACTCACAAGCTAAACGTCGAACCACTCTATCCACCAGTGCGACAAATAAGAAGAAAATTCAACGCCGCAATCAACGAGGCCGTCAGTGATGAAGTGGATAAGCTGCTCGCCAACGGTTCTATCCGGAAATCAAAATATCCCCAATGGATCGACAATGTGGTCATTGTAAAAAAGAAAAACGGGAAATGGCGGATGTGCGTAGATTTCACAGACCTAAACAAGGCATGCCCAAAAGAATCCTTTCCCTTACCTCACATCGACCAGCTCATCGACGCAACAACAGGGCACGAATTGCTAAGCTTCT